TATTGGGTTCGCCATCTTGGATCACAGAATTTTAAAAATCTAAGTTCAGATTCGGATTCAACGAGCCCAAAAACCCATAGAATATGTACTTCCCTATAATTATCTCCCCGGGCAATCCCCCGTCCTGAAAGGGTTAATAACCAAAAATCCATGAAATCATTTGCAAAATCGTAGAGGACTTTCTTGTTCAGTTTTACTTGAATAATGTGCAAGTACAAGACGGCAGACGTCGTTCAATTCTTCACAAGCAAGTCGCCACTAAAAGAGCGCAACAAGTATATAACTTAACATTGAAGGGAAGAGGAACGAAGTTCTGAAGTGCAACGTTGGTTCAGCCGAAAAGAACAGGCCTATTGTCGCGCTGATGAAACGACGGCACCTTTTGCAGTGCATTCATGCAGTGCATGTCACTTTAGCTTGTCGAGTGCAGCGCGCGGTATGAGCGCGTTGCGCAACATCGATATCCTTCGCGGATCAATTATGTAATTACCGCCGGAGGCGCATACCGGCACGTTTATTCTAATCGAGTGAAACCGTTATCCGCGTTATCCGAGCACCGCGAATACGTATCGGGTGTTCAGCGCGGAGCAGCCGCGTCGCGGCGATCGAGAAATCCCCCTCGTAGGAATGTATATACGCCGCGCATGCAAAGTGTCCAGATTCTCTCCCGAGAACGAGCATGCTTCGTTAATAATTCATAATCCGCCTCTCTTATTTACCGTCACGCCAGGGAACGGGATTGTACGAGGACTATTAAATAAATAACGCGATGTCTTTCTCTCTCTTTCTCTCTCTCTCTCTCTCTCTCTCTCTCTCTCTCTCTCTCTCTCTCTCTCTATCCCAGCATTGAAAGTCCCAAAGAGAAGAGAGACAACGGACGGAAGACGATCTCTCAGCGCGAAAGACACGCCGAATTCGTTACTTCCCGTAGGTGAACCGATGGATGACATGGCTGCGACAAATGATGATCGAATCCGCACGATTAACACGTAAAGTGACAAAATTATACATACGGAGAGAGAGAAATTGATAAATAATTAAATTTAGAAGTTTATAAGTTGTGTGAATTCTGAAGTTTTTATAATTGCAAAAATTAGCATGGAATTTTATGATCGAGGAATGTTAATTGTAACTGAGAAACAGATCGACATTCTGCAGTAATTGAACGTCCTTTCATTTCATACGTGTTATTTAATATTCCAAGAAGTGAAGTGTGTTATTAAAAAGATTAGCTACGTTCTTAGCGAGGTTTACTACGCTTCTTAGCAAGACTGACAGTCACTGCCAGTGAAATTGGAAAGAATTTACACGAACAAAAAACTATAATATTTTCTCCGTGTATTTTTTAACTTGTCATTGGAAAGGTGGAATCTGGCGGATTTCTTTCTGCTTTTTTATAACTTCTCAGATTTTATAATATCTCTCATGATTTTGTGGAATATTGAGATTTAATAACAGAAAAAAATTCTTACGAAGATTTAAAGAGAACGAAACGAATTGCGTGGCGTCTCTCAGAGCCCAACTTTCCGACGGCGGGTTCATTATATTTATATTAATTTCCCTGCGATCCCGTCCCATGAAAACTGAGATCTCACGATCGCGTGATCTCGCGAGACTGGGCGGTAGACCGATTCCTTCGAGTCCGATGCGCTCGACGGTGAAGCCGTCTCTCGATGGGTGGGCAGGTAGCGGATCCACGCGATCGAAAGCGCGACGCGAACTTCCGTTCCGGTTGTGAAATTGCCAGAAGCCAACCAGACCCGTTGTCAGTCGCGCAAGTGACCGTGTGTGCGTTCGCGCCAGTGTACGTACGCGATATAACGCGCATACGAACTCTAATGTGCAATCGTGCTCGGGGCTCTCTCTCTCTCTCTCTTTCTCTCTCTCTCTCTCTCTCTCTCTCTCTCTCTCTCTCTCTCTCTCTCTCTCT